TTTTGCTCATTTAGCTCACTTGCTGATAAATACTTGTGCATAATAGAGGGTGATAATCTATAGTATGTTATGCAGATAATGTTCTCTATAGAAAGAGTCAGTTTAGTAAGTTGAATTTTTAATCAGCCGCATAACTTTGGCAGCCCGTGGCTTATTGATTAAATAATTATATCACAAGAACGTATTCAACAAACAATATATTACGAACAAATTGCTAACAGACAAAAGAATATTATCCATGGAGCAATTCTTTGTTATTTTAAAAAATTATTATTGCGATAATAACATCAGATGGTACAGCAAAGCGATACGAACTGGAATCTAGTAAGTGGATGGAACAACCAATTTAATTAATATTAAGAGAGAGTAAAGAAACCAAAATTTTAATATACTATATCTACAATCAAAATAACATCAAATAAGTTATTTCTGTTATATAACAACTAAATTGTTTGAATTATAATTGTTTGTTGGTTGAGCGGGTTCTTTATTACCAGTGAGTTTTTTATTCAATTCAATTGCATAGAAAAATAATTTGTATTTATATAGTTTCTAAAAATGACAATAATGACAATGATGATAGTTCCATTTTAATGTTGCTATTTTGGGCATATTTTGTCAATTATTACAAATACTACAAATACTACGACTACCACTACCACTACGACAACTACAACAGCTACACTAATTATCTATCTAATTGGTGGCTTTTGATATCACGTTGGGGTGGGGATATTATTCTTACACTGATTGAACTGTTTTTAAATAAGCAAATAATTGTATGGAGATTTGCTTTTATAACAATAGTTTTAGTAATATTTTATATTTTTGAAGCAGCTTTAATTTATGTCATGTAAGAAAGATTGAAAAGTGAAAATAATTTTTTTTTAGACATTTTCCGGTTACTAATTTGTGGTATCAGGGCACACGAGCTGTCACTTTAATGGTTTCAGGTTTCATAATTTCATATATTATAACATTTTGGATCCATAGATTTAGAGATTTTCTTGGAAGAAAATATCATAACATGGATAGAAATCAACAAATTGCACATGATAATGAAATGGAACAAAGTGCACATAGCGTACATGTTGTTGTTTAATCATGTATTCTATACTTTTGTATTAATTTGATGAATGTATTTTCTCTTAGTTTCGAATCCATTAAATTAGATTTGAAAATTTTTCTTGTTATTACTTAATTATTTAGGAGCTGGGATATAATAAATATTACTATTTTTTATTAACAAGTTTGCGTATTAGGATCCTTACATATGCACTGATTTTGTTTGAACCCC